AAAAGAAATTAAACTGCATTGACCCTGAATTTGTGAATAAATACAGCTACAGAACAGTTCTAAACATTTTGGTTCTCCTCATATACGGGACGGTATTTGTAAACATGAGAGAATCCTCTGAGGTGTCAACATCCTCTGGAAGTAAAGTCCTGGGGTGGTGTCCTGTTTGCTAACACTGCTGCTCAGATAATTTGGCTTTGTGACAAGATGGAGCTGTGAGATCAGACACTGGCAAGAATTTTGTCTGCTCGTCAGTTTCTCCCCCCGAGCGTTTCCACTCCATTTAAAGGTGCACTGAGTGACATTTAGGTCAAACTAATAAAAACATTGTTGGTGTAATCCCATCTTAATGTTTATATTGTGGTTTTCATTTTCAACAGACATTTTTCAAGTAGATAAGGATCATTGGTTTTCTGCCAATGGCCTCATGTTGGATCACAATATTTACATTTCCTTCTACTGAAGGTTGCCTTGTTTACTCCTGTATAGTTGAAACAGGAATCCTAAGTGACAAATCCCACCACTACACGCTATTGCATTAGTGTCTGTGCAGTTTAAGATAAATTAAATTACAGTTCTGATGCACAGGGTGTCTTTATTTTTGATTTAGTGCTTGCATGTAATGGATGAACCCTGTGATCTGTTCTAACGCTCCTGAAGTGTCACTTTGAAGTGAATTTAAAACCAGTGACCTCCCTTATGCTGCTAACGGCAGAGATGTAATATGAACTGTGGAAAAGCAGTGGTAGGTCAGATGGCCTGTATGTGCAGAGCGGCCTTCCACTGATATTACAGTAGAGTTAATCAGGGAACTCTCACCCTTGACCTTTGCTGCTGCAGAAAAAAGTGGTTCAGACAGCAGTGATGAACTCCTCTCTCATGTCTCTGTATAAAATACTGTACATGCATCTGCTAACAAGAGCACTGCTCTCTGCTGAGCTTTCTGGGGTTTGCCTGAATTGTTGGTTTAATGGCTGACAGGCAGAACGTCTTAATCTGGTGTTGTCAAACTTTTGCGTAAATTTGCCCAGTGTTGTGGATAGTGAGACCAAACATCTGCAGTGTTGTTGACCATTAGGGAAGTGTTAATTATGTAGCAGTCACGCCTGTGCTTCACTGTCCTCAAACGGACCATGTCAGTATGTGGTTTTTCTGCCTAAAAAAAGGTTCAAAATGTGTCATGAATTTACCATGTTAATGGATACTGACACTAATTAATAACTCTATGCCGCAAAGCACAGTAGTGGCTGCATTGATGAGGTTAAAAATTGATTGAGGTTGATTAATTAGAACAAATTACAGATTAAAGACAAATTAATTATGATCAATCAATCACTAATATATGAATAAAGATACATATATGTTTAATGTAAATGTATATACACATACACATGTATTTATACATGTATTTAAATGAATATATATTCTCATTAAAAATATATTTACATATACATATCTTTTTGTATATATAAAAACATTTATTCTCCCATTCAAAATTACATTTACAATATGACGAGATTCCTTTGTTTACAATAAACACATTGAATTGTGCTATGTGGGTGGTACCCATAATCCCATAATAATATGTAACCAGGCTTGAATTTATTTAGTTGTAATTGAGAACCTGTAGCCAAGACAGTGTGATACTGTTCTTTTAGTAGTATTTATTTCTTTATGTACCCACATTAGTGTTTCAATAGACTTACTACCTTGGCAGAGACATCAAATGTTGTTCTTGTAGTTACTTGGTTGTGAGGTGGATTATCTTCATTACACAGACCGAGAACCGACACAAGTAGATATCTTCCCATGTGGTGTGGTGATCTTCAGAATCTGTTCTGCCTGTGTCAGCTCCACTGTGAAGTCATCGGTCCATGTGACACTTTTCTTTGTGTTATAAAACTTATTTATTTAGACACAACAAATTAATGGTTGTTCATGTTGTTTTATCTATTATTTGGTTTCTTTTAAATCAGAAATATTAAAAATCATTCCAATATCCTGATATAGTTGATTTCTTAGGGTGTTTACAATGTAAGTCAAATTATTTCCAATATTAACTGCCTTGTCCAATATAAATAGTATCATCTGGATATGAAGGAAATTCTATCTTTTAGTGACTGTTTTTGTGTTTATAAGCAAAAAAAACCCAACAGTTTTACTCGCTTATTACAGTGAGTCCCAATGTTCCCGAAGGTGATTGATTTGTCAGTTTAAATGCCGATTTCCAGTAAGTGTTGTGATGTCCGTAACATTGGATATTTGATTGTGTTTCCAAGTGCTGTTCTCAATACACCAACCTACGGATGTACTGACAAAACATTGCAGCCTAATATGATGTCACTGTGACAATATTGTGGCTTCAACGTGTATGAACTTTTAAATCTAAGGCAAGAACAGAGTAAAAGTAAAAGTTAGTCACATGAAATAACATCTAAACTGTCAGGACTGCTCTGTTTAGTGCTGGTTAAAAGACACACCTAACCTAACTCAATAATGCCACTGTTTAACAACTTGCGTTGTAGACAGCAGAAAATTGGAAATTCATATTTTCTTGACTTTAAGTCCGAGGGAAAGACTCTTTTCTATTTCCTAGTTTGTGTCATAGTTGTTGGGGTTTGACCTGGTCTTTTTCCTTCAGTAAAATAATGTTTAACTGCATGCTGTTTCCAACATTGTGTCGTGTCCCCTTAATAAGCAGCAATTCTGTAAGCAGGCTGATGACCACGGTGACGAGAAGGATGTTGTCGTGTGTCAGTGTATACTTCAGGGCTAAGAGGATTGCCATAATCTGGTTAGGATCCCTCTTTGCTGTCGTGTAGTCTTTATACGATTGGTCCTTGATTCTTGACTTGTCTGCGGGGGTGTTAGTGTTTGGTCTACCCCATGTACCTGCAGCTAAGGTTGGATGTGAAACATAACTCTATGCTTGTTGGTGCCCAGAGAAAATGTCTTTTGGGTCATTAGAGGGAAACAAGGTAAGTGGCTGCAATCAACATTTTTTAGTTGTTTTTATTTTAATTAATTTTAAACATTGTTAGAGTAAGATGCATGTAAGTAGTTTTATATTAACAATATAGTAAAACATATATGTCTTCCTAGTGGGGAAAAAGTTGCTGTGTTACTTAGTAATGGTAAATGAAGATGTATAAAAGCAATCAATGTCTTGCAGGACAAACCCTCAGGGAGCATCATTACACCACTGACAGTGTATAGATTAGATTTACAAAGTACTACGTTACTCTAAAAAAAAGTAACAGCTAAGTACAAGTATGTGTTATTTTACTTTGATGACAACCTACAGTAGAGAACTGTACTGTATATAAGCTGTATGTTAACTTGAAAACTTGAAACTTGAAACTCTGTCCTTTTGCGTCATAGAATGGCTGAAATGTTGAGTATCCCTTAGGGAATTCTGATGGACCGTGAGACTTTCAAGTTTGTTGGTTTTCTTCTGTGCAAATACCAATGTCTTCAGTGCAGAGAGACCCGAGTCTGACAGAAATCAGGGTAGAGTTGAAGAAGACAGATGTCGGGTGATAAGGTTAGCCAGAAAAAAAGTTGGCCCTACCACGGCTGACTCTGAGAAAAATCCAAATGTTTTCTTTTCAAGAGTTCACTGATGACATTTATGTTAAATGTTTGGCAAGAATACGTACATGTACTGCATTATAGGGCCACAAATTTGTAATGTGAGGGGAACAAATTTTCCAGTTTTTAAAAAGACAACAATTCACAAAAAGTCTTGTGATTGCAGGTTAATCAGAATAAGTTACTCAGTCTCTGATGTTACGTTGGATTTGATCATGCTTGACCATTATAGTTACTGTGTACTACAGTCCACAACCTTTTTCTGTACTAAGGACAAGTCAGTGAAGACCTGTTGGTATTAAGTTAAAGAATCCTCAAGGATCTGTAAAGTAAGATGTAAGATCTGTGTAGTTTAATTGCCACTGTGACCCTTTTCACACAAACCCAGATTAAACAGTGTAATACTGAAAAGTGAGCTGTAAAGGGATCAATGTTAGAAAGGAGGAGAGTTATCTCACTGTTTAACTAAAATCTAGACTAAAGTTTCAGAATCCAAAGGTTATTTATTTTCAATGAAAACCAAAGTAAGAGCCCAGTCTGTTTATCTATTTGAATTCTGATCAGGTCAACAGTAGTAGACCTTTCAATGTGACACATCAAATAAATTGGAATCATTTGATTTAATTACTTATGTCTAAGTCTTCTAAGTTTTGAAGTAAACTAAATGCAAGGGGTAGAATGGATTTTGTAATGAAGGTAAGACAATCACATGATGTGATTGATTAGCTTATTGCCAGTAGTTCTTGTTCTCAGGTCTTGGTTAGGAAAAGATCTAATAGACAAACAATGGCTGGGTCAGTGATGAGTGCAGCCGGGGAACCTTAGTGCCTACTAAAGTGTTGAGTCTCTCTTCCTGTTTGATGGTAAATGTGTGCTCATTGTGTCGTAGCAACCGATGGTATACACTAAAACAGGATACTTCAGCTTGTTAAAGGTTGCTTTCATCCATCTCTGTGAAAAGAAAGAAAACACTTGAAATGCAAATTGACAGCCTGAGGTACTAAATTGTGATTATTCAAGGGTTGTTTATTTAACAGCATGGACATCGTGACTCATTTTGTCACCTCTTTAAAACAAAACAATCATTAGGCGTGCACGTCACTCCCATTTGTCAGTCCATCATGCTGTTTACAAAATATATAAAAAAATGTATTGTCAAGCTTTTTTAAAGGTTTACACTTGTGTCGTCCTTATAACCAAAACTGAAGCATTAGCAACATGGACCTCAAACAAGTATGTAAACTGCAGAGCATTTATTACTTAATACCTCAGGGACAATGTCCTTGAGTGTGACCTTTGCACATGCCTGTGTTGTATATATGAGTGCTTCCTGATACGCTGTTCTCCTATTTGTTTGTTTTTGGCTGTGTATTTGGAAAACTGTGTCTTCATGTGGATTTATGGTATAGAAAATTCCTCTCATCTTTGTGACTTTGGGACTGTGACTCCATTGTTGTCCTTACTGGGTCATCCTCCTCCTGGGACTTTTGACTGTTTAATGGTCTTATTCACTCTGAGGCAGGGGTCTCAAGCTTTAATAAGTCAAGGGCCACTGATGCCTGCATCATTTCCTTGGAGAACCACAACATTGTTTCAGCTGCATCTGAAATGTTGAAGAGAGTTGTCAAACCGTGAAGCCAACATTATTCATCAGTTCATTATTTAGCACCAAATCAGAAATTTAGTTTTTAATGTCACTGCATTTACAGCATTGTTTTTGTTACAGCTGCTCTACTGTTCCTCAATCAAAATGGTGTGGACAAGCCCCACCTGACACCACCTGTTTACGAACATTAAATCACAACAGAGCTCAACTCGGTAACTCTAGATTGATCAGGCTGCTAAAGACCAGGTCTTAAGTGTTGTGGCACAACTAAAATGTTTTGAACCAGAAAGGCAACAATAGAAATGATGATGAAACCCATCAATATTGCATCAACAGATCATTGGATCAACTGGCCTTACTTGTCAGCTTGAAGTCATTTTTCTTATCCTTTTTTTTAAAATTTAACCAATATTAACTTTTTAAAATTATGATGCATTGAATGAATAAGACGGTTTAAGTACTGTTGAGAAGTAAGCCACCAGGTTATCAGACTGGTGTTTTCTAATAGTGCAGCAGTAAATAAAGTGAGTCATACAGATACAATGTTGCATATACTCCAAGGTTGTCACAATAGAATTTGTTTGTTGGGCAGTTCATCATTTTCTTTGACTGCAGTGCTGTCTGATGTCTGCTTTGACAACAAAGCTCTGTTCATACTGTCCACAGACTTTGAAGCTTAGGGAAGAAAACAGGACAGAGGAAGGAGAAGCAGGTCAGGCTTTATTATGTTACTGCACAGTGAGAGGAGTAGTGGTAAAAGGGCAAACGCTGCTGCCAGAACGGTCATTTGTGTACCACCCACTGAGTGACTGGGAAACAGACTGTAAATGGCAGTAAAAGGTGTTTTCTTTGTTGTCTTTAAGATGCCATTTATAGGGTAAATAATTCCTGTAAAATATGATGACTGGAAAAACAAAGCTTAGCAACAGTATATCACTGATCTGTGGTGATTGTAGGTCATGGCTTGTTGATTAATCGCTTCAATAAGGGTATCACTGCTCTCCACAGGTATCCACAACCTTTAGTTCCTGCTTTGTAGTCTCTGAAGTCTGAAGCGGTGATTCCCAACATCTGCTTTGCAGCATGTTAGTGTGCCGTGAGAGATCTATATATATCTAGATTAATTATCCAATTCCATTTAATTGATCTATGATTTTTTTATGTCTTTTTTACTCTATACAACAGTTACAGATGGAACAATTAAATGCTCTTACACTAGGTAGGAGCAGATGGCTATAAAAACTAAAAAAAAGGGAGACAGCATTTTTGAAGATCTGTGTTTGTCTTTCCTCAATTCCTGCAATTATATCAATGTTGTGTTCAACTAAACGGGACCAGGTGTCACTGAGGAAAATGTGATTAGATCACGATTGGAAGGGCAATAG